AGAGAGAGAGAGAGAGAGAGGTGAGAAGAAGAAGATGAGGGAGCTTTACGTGGTAATTTATGGACTGTTATTGGGAGCCCCAGCTTCATTCACAGTGACCACGACTCCAGAGCTCCTGGGATGACCGAACGTTGGACCGCGCGCGGGCTTTGGGGTTCGCCCCTGCAGGGCCTTGGGGTCTTGCACAGCCCATAGCAGAAAAAGAGAGAGGGAAGCGGGCCACTAGGCCTGGAGAGCTTTGCATCATTTCCGGCATTCCAGGAGGCTCTGAAAGAATGTTGTGCAGGGAGTTCTTTCACTACAAGTCACCTTTAGGGCGTGACAAATATTCGGCAGAAGACGAAACAACAAAGATACATGACGCTCCTTTGATCTCCTTTGCTTTGCTATACTACGCCTCATATGTGGATCCGCTTGTGTTTTGGGCTAGTAGGATAGCCGAGCAACATTGACGAGTTTCCAGGTTGACTAAGAGCCAACTGGGACCAAATGAGCTGGGCGTGTTTTGGCATGGGATGCAACTCCCATTCCGTATCAGCATAGAACCAACGAAGCAGAGAGGCAGAGGGTAGCCCAAAGAACAAAAGAAAAACGGCTCTGGCACAGTGCCCCCCAAAAGTAGAAGCAATCCAGAAGCTGGAAAGTTGATTCTCCCGGTATCCTGTGTGTGTGTGCCCTCTTTCTATACGCGCTAGGGGACGGCAAAGGATAACAAAAAGCCCACGGTGGCTGAGGCCATTTCTGATGATGACGTGGATGTGATTGGTGCAAAAGGCTGAGTTGCTGCTGCCGGAAATGACTTTGCGTGACCTCATCTGAGCAGTTTCCCCAAGAAGGGGGGAACACATCAGCGCGTGTAGGCAGGACATAGGATCATCGGTGTGCAGCTCAACATGTTACCATCACCATCTCAGGGGGCTCGGAATCTTGAAATGTGGAGTCTACGGATTAGGGTCTGTGATCTGATCTGGACGCTAAGATGCTTGGTTGCGCTCAACTGCGGTGTAGTAGCCTGAGGAATTAGAACCACTAAGCTCTTTTCCTGCTTTGGCTCCACCATCCCCAAACGAGCTGCTCAAATGTACTAGGCTTTCAGGTGTAGTGGGTCATGCAGGCCATTTCCGTGAAGATTAGGAAGTATGACGCAGCTGTAGCACTAGAGCCCAATGCAGGCTCCGGCTACAGTGCTCAGAGTTCCATGCCACCCTATAGCAGATGGGCAAGAAGCTGATTTGAAGACGTTTGCGCAAGACGCAGGGTAGGCTGATGGTAGACGCGAGTGCGTCGCCGGCAGTAGGCAGTATTGCGAGGTCTATGTCGGTAGTGCTGTTACAGCCCATGATGTGCTTTGCGTGGAGCTGTGAACGGGGAGCACAGTTCGGCGCACCGCTGCTCCGTTCAGAGCATTGGTAACAAGTGTCGCCTATAACAAAAAAGAAAACACAATCCCACAACAGTCTGCAGAAAGTTGCGGCTGTAGCAAGAAGGCCAGAGCCTCGTCCCATCAAGGTACGCTGACATGAGCCAGGCTTGCCAGGCTTATAAGTAGCAGAAGAAGACACAAGAACCCAGGAAGTGTCTGTGGTTAGTTGCACTCATAGAAGAATGGACCGCGCTTTTTGGTAATTCATGTAGGTGGTATCAGTAGAAAAAGAGCTAACAGTCCTATTGCAGCGTTGACAGCATCAAGTGGTGCCACCTCGGCTGCAGCAGGCAGTAACAGTATCACAGCCTAAAGCCCGAATCGGGGATGCCGTGTCATGAGTCAGTATACTGTACCTGCTCAGATGGAGCATGTGCCAGCCAGACAAGGATGCTTGTTTGCCGTGCTCGCGGCCGCGTGTATATTGAAATGGCCATGATTTGCAGATAGACTGCAGCGACTTGGAGCGCTCGTAAACAGAATCGCCCATAAGCTTCGGTGAATTGGCTGTCAGTGTAGAGATTCTACAGAAGCATTTAAGAAATCTTCGATGGCTATGGGGCCTCAAAGATTGGAGAGAGAGAGATTGGCCTGCGCAGGGTGATGATTCACTAACTTGCGATAGTCTGCCTGGGCTGCCGCATGATTCTGGTAGAAGTCGGGGTGGTGTGACTTTGCTCATGGGACCGGGTGACCAGCAACAGTTTTGTGAAGGCTTGACGTTTGCTGAGGCAGGTGCCATCCGGACTTGCGTCCGCTTGGTGGTTGTCTGGCTACGACTAGGATTGCAAACTACACCTGAAGCCTCATGGCATGTAGACGTTCACCATGCCCATGGCAAACCCCTAAACATGATAAAGCTTGTCTCAGCCTTACATCCTACTCCCCTGGATGCTCAGTCAAATCTCTGTGCCTCTGCATGCGACGAGGTCGGAGACCTTTAACTATCCGTCGTACCTCCAGCAGTACGAGAATTCTTTGTGCGAAGCTCATGCTTGTGTGACTTTGCAGGTTGTAGGTTTTTTTTCCGCAAAATCGGGGTTCCGTGTGTCCCCAGACTGGCCTGATCCTTCCTATCGGGACCCCAAAATGGGAGCCACAGTTTAGGGTCCTCTACGCATACTCAAGATCATCGGCAGGCAGTTACCAGGTAAGGGCATGCTAACGCACAAGAAGCGAAGGGGCCCGTGTGTCAGGAAGGCTGGAACCAAACTCCCGGCGAAATGGCAATGTCTGACAAGTGCAACATCAATAGCCACTTGTGATGTACCATCCTCTGTCGAGGAGATGGCTAATTCATGACGGCATGCTCTGGCTTTTCGTGGAGGGGGAGGGGGCGGTAGGGGAGCTGTACAGGGAGTCTTGAGTTCTTGCGCGACGTGTGGCTCTGACAAAACTCCGATTTTGTCACCCTGGCCTGTATCTGTTGTAAAGATCGTAACATGTGATAATCTAAGCAATTCACAAGGTTCCTGGCAACAGCCTGCGCACGACTTGTGCTCTTGTGGGCTTGTAACACGTTCTGCCGGGCGGCGTGAGAATTGGCATGAAGTGCTCCGTTTCCGCTGTAGGGCGCAGAATGCACACCTAATGTCATATAGAACAAGAGGCCCCACCAGACAAGCAGTGAATGGGTGTCTGCTGCGCATTCAAAGAAGGAACGATACAAGACCAGAACTTGATGGTTTTGACTTCCGCAGTGCATTGGTTCCCCCAACATGCAGGCCCTAGGACCCTGAACCCGAAAGCCTCTACATACTCAAAGCCCTAAACACAATCCAGGTCGCGCAAACTCGCCGATCAGTGGCACAGCGGAGCTGTGATTTTGCCAGGAGCCCAGAAGCCTCTGATTTGAATGAAGGTTACTTGAAGGTTCAGGAGTTGTTTTGGGAAAGTCGCAGGTGTGTGTTTGTGCATGCACACACACATACCCATCTATAGTGTAGGGTAGCTATAAGTGCAAGAAGTCTACCGACATCCCAATGATGGTGACGAGAACCAGACTTGTATTCGCCATTCAGTTGCTTCCACTAGAAGGGGGTATTCCATGCAAGCAATTTTGGGATTACCTTGCTGATTACATTGCTGCCCGCCCCCGCCACGGTGCCTGAAGTGGATTGCGTAGATCAAGGCATAGCTTCAAACAGTGATTGGGGATTTCCCCAAATTAGGGGTACCCTTCTGGGGGCGCCCATGATAAGGACTATAATATGTTGGGTTTTATTTTGGGGTCCCTTATTCGGGAAACTGCCATCCTGAAGAGTGGAAGATCGAGCAATTCCTTTCCTGACCTGGTGTCCGTTGAGATTGAGAATGGCTGCCCACATGAGCTATAGTCTGAACTCCTTACAGGGTTTTTTATATAGGGGGTTATATGGGGGACTACTATCGGGGGTAGTAAGGGGGAGACTAGGAGTTTAGAGTATAGCTCACATGAGTACATGATTGGAAAAAGCTTGAAGAAGTAGCACGGTACTCTACCATTTGTAAGCAAGAGAATGGGAACTTTGGGGTCCTCATGTGATCGGAGGCAGGCCTGGCCGATCCCCCTTAGAATCAAGCCCCACCCACTTCAGAGTAGATATTCGCGGGGAATGTGGGGTACCATATGAGCTATAGTCTGAACTCCTAGTACCCCCTATAGTAAGCCTTATTAATAATCCATTATATAATTATATAACCCCCTACTAATTAAGGAGTTTCGTCCATAGCTCATATGGAAGAGGACCCTGTGTTGCCATACTTGTAGAACTGCTCACACAACCTGATGCTGAGGATGGCGAAGAATGTTCAGAGTGCAGCCGAGGTTGGGATCGGAAAGGGTGTAGGCGTAGGCTTGGTGGTATTACGCACTTAGCACTAATAGTTAGTTGGAATACGAGTAGTACTAATAGTAGTAGTAATTGTAACTAGTAATGATAGTAATAATAGCAACAATAATTTGTCGATAGCGATAGTAGTAGTAGAAGGCGCACGCCGAGGGTCCCCCGTTTTGTAGTATTAGCGGTAGGAAAAATAGTAACGTTTAAGGTTCGCAGCTTTTAGAGTGGCGTTGTATGTTTGGATGCCCTGTCTTGCTCTGAGGCTTCTCACTTGCGGGACAGTACACTCTAAACACCAGTTCTCCAGCTTTTGGCTCGCATCTACGCAATGAGATCCCAAACGAGACAATGCCTTTGCGGAAGTAAGCTGCAGGGAGAGACTTCCGACATTGGAGCTTGGTGTGTTGTGTGGGAAGTGCAAGTCATACGGGTCAGTACAACTAGAAGACAGCAGAGGGAAGAGGATGACATGAGTTTCCGAAATGGCCCGGGGCCCGCTCAGGCTGTAACAGGAGTCAAGCATCACAAGTCAACGGGTCTTGGCACTCCCAGCCGAAATTCAGCTGAAAAGCGGGCTGCGATACACATCCTTCTAGGGCTTGAGTTCAGGGATTTGACGCTTTACTTACGGCTCACTTGGGGTCTGTGCACGGCGGCCGCAAACACTCAACCCTATGTTCAAGGTTGCGTTTGCAGACTGTACGGAAGAGCATCGAAATCTAATGGCCTATTCTCAAGTTGATGGGTCTTTGGCTGTTGCAATACAACAGGTAGTATTTCGGGCGTACCAAAATGGGACCCGAGCTGGCATTCGGATTGCATTCCTACTCGACTTTGTGAAGCCTAGTTCCTTTCCATGAACTGAGAAAATGTGGGCATCTATGCAAAACAGGCTCCGGCCATACACCCCCGCATATTCATAGAATGCCTGATATCGGGACCACCCCAAAATAGGGAATCATGATTTTGAGAAGCTACCCTGTATTACGCAAGCCTATGGCATCTTCAGGTTTGCAGATTGGGCTTGGGCTTGCTTGTTGAGGCTGTCGGCTGTTTGCTGCTTTAGGCCAAGTTTAGGGCCTGTCCTGTTTGGATGATGAACCTTACAAGCTATACTAGGCCTGAAATCCGGAAACTTGGTCTCCAAAAATGAAAACCTGCAGCTGGGCCCTAAAAAGAATTCCACTCCGCAGGGGCCTGTGTGCCGTTCCACGCTAGTCTAGTGAAAGGTGCGCCCTCAGTAGAATCAGGCGGAAGCAGCTTGGGACGAAATCGACCGAAACGGAGTCTTGACTGCGGTGAGCTTGTTAGACAACAGCTTAGCTTAAGGGAGTTGGGGTATCAGCGGCTTTTGCCTTAATGGTGTAGGATGTCAAGAACTGAGAGTGCCAAAATATGGGTCTCTACACCGGCTTGAACAGAAGGGACCACAAAGCCGGAATCATGTGGCCCATACATCGAAAGCCAGTTCAGCTTCTGGAAGCTTAGGGTTTCAGACTCAGAGCAAGCTCCCCTCTGTGTTTTCAGATGGCCATGCCTTGAATAATTGAAAACATAGCGATCTCTACGAGCCTTGCTAAGAGGACCCGCAAAGAACCCGAGCCCCCAGAGGGCTGCCTCAATTTTGAGAGAGGCTCCAACTTTCTTTGGGAACCATCCCGTAACCCCGGAAGACCAGCGTCAAGGGCCATCATGCAAATGCCCCTCAACGAAGCACATGTTGAGCTTTTTTTGTGGAGGCCCTTGCAAGAGATTTCATAGTGAGTAGTAGCCATGCAGGATCATATAGGCCTAAGTACTGTCTAAGACTTGAGTCTGCGCACTGCACTTCAAACTACCAGCTAGTGCTTAGCACAGCCCAGCTGAAGATCCTCAAGCGTTGCAGCTGCCTCCACATACCACGCAGACTTAGGGATTTCTAGCCTTGTCTGTCCCTGTCTTTTTCTCCAAGCTCCCAACTTTCACCCACAGTTGCGCTCCTCGCATGGACGGATTCTGTCCTCGCAAGGAGACCTCAATTACCCCTAGTACGTATAAACCTGTACAGTAGGCCCTGAACCTTTAAACATTTGCACCTAACCTCCAAGAACCTGTCGCACACCCCAGAATGCCTGAACTTGAATGTCCCGATCGAAACATCCAACTTGCTCGGAGTCACCTGAGGAGATGGCAAGCTCAGCTACCAGGAGTCGGGTCCCTGGCGACCGGTTTAGGCTTTAGGGTTTGAGAGTGTCTTCGGGTGAATCTAGACCTAGATATCCGCAAGCCCAAAGCCATTCGGGTCTGAGATAGACATAGCGCTCCATCACATCTTAGAGACTTGGTCAGCAAAGCCAGCGCATGCGCGCCACAACACCCTGCTGCCCATGTTCCTTTTACCTCTTCAGCTTTACTTCTTATGTTGAACCCCGGAACGGCAAGGTGCAGGAGCAAGACTTGTTGCTCTTTATCTCTGATCCTGCAGTCTGTGCTACCAACATCCACCAACGTCATCTGGTTAAGTCCAGACATGAAAAGAAGTTCTATCACCCTGCCAAGATTACTTGTGTTTGTGTGTGCGTGTGTTGAAATTTAAGGCTTTTAGTGAGCAACTCGTCTCCAGTGGGTTCTTCTGGCAATGTCTCCGAAGAGGGGCCTTCTGCGAGCCCTCAATCAAAATGGCCTTCCAAGAGAGTCGGACCCTAGCTTTGACAGAGCCACCTGACCAAGTGAGTCGAACACAAGAAGAAATACCGAGGCATCCATCCGAATAAATTTTGGCTCCTTGCCCTCAACAGTACCTGGAGAGAGACCAGGCGATCAGGTTTCCCAAGCTTCAGGGGCCATGGCTATGCCCATGCTGGCCTTGTCTGCCGCCACGCTTGCGGTCTTCGCTCTGGGATCTTCAGCGCCCATCGAAGCCCTTGGGCTTAGACAGGTATGTGCGCAAAGCGGGCTTCTGTACACTCACTCAGGCAAACCCCCGCAACAGCAGCGCAGTATCATTTCAACACATACCCAAGCGGCCATGATTCAGGGGTCCTGTGTAGGAAGTCCTCATGCAGATTTCTTGTATGCTATGAGACGGGCATCCATTTTGCTCTATCTTTCATAGATGTATTCGTCTAATTATGCATGTTTGTGTGAGCATTCTTGCTTCAGCCGCACCCAACACCCAGGAACCATAGACTAGAGTTGACCTGCTCGAGCAATTGATACGCGAATTCCTTTCTATAGTTGTGCCCTTGCATTGTACTCAGGAAGGCTCTCCGGTCGAGTCTGTGCGCTGGACACCAAGTGGGGCAGCTCTGATCTCGGGGTCCGATGACCTTACCGTCCGGGTTTGGAATGCCAGCACGGGGAAGAGCCTACAGATCTTAGCCGGGCACACGGACACGATTTGGTCTGTCGCCTCGAGCCCAGATGGCAAGCAGATCGCTTCATGCAGTGCAGACCTCACTGTGCGAATTTGGGACGTGCAGTCGGGAAAGTGCTTGCACACCCTTGTGGGTCACACAGATGATGTTCGGGCAGTGGCCTTCCGCCCAGATGCTAAGACTGTGGCCTCAGCAGGTTGGGACCACACCATCAAGGTTTGGGATGCCAGCACCGGGAAGTGCTTGCAGACCCTCACTGGTCACAAGAAGGATGTCTGGTCTGTTGCTTACAGCCCGGATGCCAAGCATATCGTCTCAGGCAGCGCCGATCGTTCGATTAAGATCTGGGACCTGGCTACCGGGAAGTGCCTTCAAACCCTGAAGGGTCACAAGGACTACCTCCGGTCTGTGGTCTACAGCCCAGACGGTAAGCAAATCCTATCCGGGAGCGATGACCAGACCGTCAAAATTTGGGATGCGACTGAGGGGACCTGTCTCATGACTCTGACGGGACACAGCTACTATGTATGGTCTGTCTCTTACAGCCCAGATGGCAAGCGCATTGCCTCGGGAAGTTGGGACCAGACCATCAAGATATGGGATGCTCTGTCTGGAAAGTGTTTGCAGACCCTGAAAGGCCACACTGACGTGATAGATTCCGTAGCATACAGTCCAGATGGCATGCACGTCGCTTCGGGTAGCGACGATGGCTCCATCAGGATATGGACAGTGAGCACTGACTCAAGTTTTGATGCCACAGGCGGAGCAGACTTCAGTCTTGAAATCACACCCCAAAGTGTACACATGGCATTGACAGCCCCGCTTGGCAAGGATGTGGGGCCTAAGGCTCAAGAGGCACAGCAGATGCCCATCAAGAGCAAGACCACGGGGAAAGGTGAGGAGATCCTGGTTTGATCGGAAACCGCACGCAGCTTGCATATGATGCGCTTTGACAAAAAGGCAACGTCGCAGGATGATTAATCTTGCAAGTTTTTGTAAGGAGTGTTTTCTGCTTTTGAAGTACAGGCATGCGAGGACCCAACGCAATTACTTACCCTTCACACCACGCGGGAGATGCGCCCATGCAGCCATAGGAGAAGCCAGTCTGAGGAAGCCGTAAATCTCATAAATGCCAAGACTCAGCCTCAATTGAAAAGCCACGGTTCAGATGAAAGGGGTAGCAAAGCCTTCGAGAAGCTTGTCCCACCCCTAAGCATGGCAACTAGAGGGCATCATTTGCTACCTTGAACTCCCTTAGGGTACAGTGCCTCAAATGACGGACCTTAGAGGACTGACGGATCACCAGACGTTATTGCTCGTCGAGGTGTATACTATTGTTATCTATTGTTCCTGTATAGGCTTTAGTTTGACCCGGTGCAAGGCTTTGCAGGGATTCGTATGGATCATAGGGTTCTAGGGGCGTAGGCATCAGTTTTGTTCAGGCTGCCTCTGTGCGGGCAGATTTGGACTGGAAGCTTAATTAAGAGGGATGTCTTGCAACGGCATTTCCGTATGGAAACCAGAGTACCGCCCATGAGTTGTTGCATCCAGATGAAGCACCTCAGATGTTGTTGTGGCTGCCACGGGCTCCAAGTTGACACGCCGCGGGTAAAGTTGAGCGTTGCCATGGCTGTGGCTCTGAAGGTGGTCGTGTTTAGTTGCCTGCCTCTTGCAAGAGCGGGCTGGTATGTGGGCACAAGCGGTGCTAGGCAGGACTGCAATGCTGTCTGCGCAGGCATCGGGCCTTGCAATGCAAAGGCCCTCAACGACATGATGCAATGCAGCCAGAGCCAGTTGAAGGCATTCCTCGTCAGCATTGCCACAACGCGTCGAATCAACGATGCAGCTGGGATTGACCAGACTGCAGCCTACAACTGTTCGAGATCCATCTCGCCACTTGCTGACCCGAATGGCGCCTCTGCTCCAATGGCCAATGCTGATGGGCACTGTGGCTACACCACGGGAGGCACAGCCACATGCAGCAGCCAGCCTCCCGTCTCTACATGGGTTCGTCACTGCTGCTGCGAGGAGTATGAGGGAGATTGCGAGGTGGGTTTAGAAAAAGAATGCCCCCAGTTGATCCTTACGTGGTATGTGCGATAATCAGCCTTCTTGTAGTTCAAAAATATCGCAGATGAACGCCTCCAGCTGTCCCTCATCCCTCTCCGAGCTGGAGGCTCGGCAGTCCACAACCAGCCTTATCGTCACGATGGTTTGGACCAGCAATAGTGAAGATGAAGCAGGAGCCGGGATGGGTCCTGAACTTCAAGCGCTGCTTGTGACGCTAGGCGGAGGTTTCTCCAAATCATGGAGTTTTCATTGGACTCTCAGCATGGGCCTTCTCTCTTTTGTTACTTGGGAAAGACTATCCAAACATTGGGACCTACAAGCCTTGTTCTTCTAGGAGTATGCCCCGCAGTATCATTCTGTCTTGGAGCAGGGTGTCGCCCTTCAGTATGACCATAGACTGCCAAGATGCATATTTCAAGGAGCCCTGCTTTTGAAGGGCTGCATGTGTAGGGAAAGCCTGCAGGCATCATCAGTTTTGGAGTGGCGCTGGTTTGCTGCCTCTATGGCCTCCTCTACAAAATCACGATGTGTCGTCTCAAGCAGCTAGGACTCTTGGCAAAACCATTCATGTGGATATTCGGCTTGTTGTTGCGGCTTTATGATGATGTGTGTTGCTTTTAGTTGTTTTAGGTGTGCACAGGGTAGACACGATAGTTCGCCCCTCCAAGCTGGTTTTCATAAAGCCGAACAGCATTTTGACCATTCGCATCTATCTGCATGTGGAGTAGCCAGGACCATGTTGGGGTTTGTTTAGGCTCGCCGTGCACGGCGGAGACCTATTTCAACTCCACTCCTTGCAAGAAGAACGCATCATGTAGCATGTCTCGCATCAGGCAATTCAGGCAAGCTCTGGCAGTGAGTTTTGATAGATTGCAGCCGTGTGCCTAATATATCGGCTCTACAATGAAAATTGATGGATAGCCTGTCGGAGCCCGTCAGCGTTGAAATGAAGGCATTCTTTGCTGTCTCTAGCAGCCCTGGCGATCGCAGCTACTGTTTTGGTGCAATCCTCACCATGTCAGGAGACCTGGATCCGAAATCGCAGCTGCCGTTGTGATATCCTGTTTGGCCAATGTGCACTTGCTCCCGGAGCTGTGGCACTCTGTCCAACACAACTTCCCGCAGTGTAGACTCAAGACAGGCACCGCAGCTGTGATTCAGAGCCCTTCAGTGTATGTGAGGCTTCCGAAGGTCACAAGGTCAGATTTCATTTCCCCAGAAGCCCTGTAGAAGGTTATTTCGCTCTGGATGCGGAGGAGATTTTTCGTGAAGCTATCCCATGAGTTTCTGTGTGTCTTACTTCAGCCCTGCTAAACGCAGTTGGCTGTGCTTTAGCGCCAAGATTTTGGTCAGTTCTGACGGTTTTGAGCGCGTGCACCCCAGGACGCCCGCCCCATCGGCCAGAGTCACAAAAGAGAGCATTTCTCGATACTAGGGTCGCTGCCAAAAGCAATCTACTCCTTTCAACCAACGTGACATGCACGGTGAGGCGGTGAATTTAGTCATGCTTGAGAAATTTTAACGCTGCCGGTGAATCTCAACCGGCAATCGCCCTCACTCTGCGCCTCCAGGTATCAGAGTTGTGCTATGTTTTGTGCATGGATGCTAGGAGGGGTTGCCAGCTGTCAGCTGGAAGTTTGGAGTTTTGGCAGCGCAGGTGTAGAGGGAAGTGTTGGTGGCATAGCTGCTTGTCTGAGTATCGTCATCAACAGTATGTTGACATGCCTCCACTCTCTAGATGTTCATCAAAATCTGCCACTGCCAGCCCGCATGTTATAGTTTCAATATGATCACGGACAGCCTTGGAGTGGCATAGCCATAAGCTATCGAGCCTACATGTTTCTTCCCCTTTCGTTTATCAGTGGTTGATTGCTGCTTCGTCCTTCCTGCTGCTCCGATCCCTTTGCTCGAGGGCATTTTTGGGAATGGTTCCACGACTTGTGGTATAGTGCACGTCCATGTAGATAAGAACGTAGATGAAGACTAGGAACAAAGTTCTTGTGAAAAGCTCACGTATAAGGATTCCGTTTGGAGGTCGGGTGTCGGTGTCTGGCTGCAGAGTGCTACATGCAGCATGGCTGTACATGCCATGTACCATTGCGAGCACCATCAGCCGAACCGAGAACAGCTGAGGGCAAGACTACAAAGCATGGTGACCCCCCAAAAACTTATAGTAGTAGCAGGCTGCACTGTAGATTCCAGTGTATATTGCCTCAATTCAGAGAATACAGATTCCGAACAGTAAGGGAGGGCTCTAAAGCGTAAGAACGTCCTGATGGTCTGGCCGCTTTCAGCGCACGAGTTGCGTTGGGCAAGCTTATGTGGGGGCTCTGCTCGCACAAGCGATCCTGACAGCATGGTCATGATGGCGGATGATCATTCCTACTACTTGATTGCGAGTTGAACTGAAGCAAAGAGCCGTTACACAAGAGTCTTTTATCCTACAGGTAAGTCTAATTGTATGAGCTCCTATATCTATGCAGAATTGGCCAAATCTTATTATTCCAGACATTGTGTCCAGATTGGGTCTTACCCTGTCCAAGCACTTCATCCGCTTGCCTCATGACATCAGGTCTGGTCAGAAACTTTCCGCAGAGTCCTCCATTGTTGCTGCCTGACAGTACGGCTTAGAATCTAGAGAAATTGGAACAGGAGGTTGGGTCAAGTTATGCTAACAATTAAGGCTGCGCAACTTCAGGAGATGGCGTATTGCATGCTTCGATCCGTAGTTTTGCAAAAGATCTGATACAGACCTGCTGTGGAATCCAGTGATGTAACGGAAGTTAGAATCCAAGCGCTTGAAAGTGGTTCCCGGATTTAAGGTCCGAATCCTTACCCGATATTCTATCTGTGGAACACTACAAGCACCTTGCAGTACTCTCGTGGGACCTTTGCAGTTCTTAGCCTAGACGAAGATGCAACTTGATCGGCACTTGAGGTCCGTATGTGCTGCTCAGCAACTCGCGGGGACTATGTGCTATATTCAAAAGGGTATACTGGATAGAATGCACCCAATAAAGGTGTGCAGAGAAACGAGAGAAAGAGAAGGGAGTAATTGCCGGGAGAAAGCGACAAGATAAAGAGGCGGGAGAGAGAGGAAGGATAAGAGACGGAAGCAAGAAAGAAGCGAGAGACGTAAGAAACAGACGGGAGAAACGGACAGGAGCAAGAGGCGCGAGCAAGAGAGCGGAGCAAGCGGGAGAGAGATCCGGGAGAAAGAAATGGCAGAGGGGGACGGGAGAAAGAGGTGGGAGAAAAAGGCGGCAGACGAGACGGGAGAAAGCCAAGAAGACACAGGGCATACGGGAGAAAGCGACAGATAGACGGGAGAAACGGACGGTAGAAAGAAGCGGCAGCAAGAGACGGGAGAAAGGGACAGGAGGAAGAGACAGGAGAAAGATACGGAAGAAAGAAGCAGGAACAAGAGACGGGAGCAGGAGACGGGAGAAAGCGAGGAAAGAAAGAGACGGGAGAAAGCGACGAAAGATGCAGTCGGCAGTCGGCAGAACGCGACGAAAGAAAGAGTCTTGAGAAAGAGATGGGAGAAAGAAGCGGGAGAATAGACGGCAGAAAGAAATTCGAGAAAGAGACGGGAGAAAGTGACAGGAGGAAGGGAAGGGAGAAACAGATGGGAGAAAGCCAGAGAGACGGGAGAAAGAGCCGAAAGCAAGAAGCGCGAGCAAGAGACGGGAGAAAGAGATTGGAGACAGCGACGAAAGCAAGAGACGGGAGAAAGAGACGGGAGAAAGATCCGGGAGCAGAAGATGGGAGAAAGAGACGGGAGACAGCGACGAAAGGCAGAGACGGGAGAAAGAGGCGGGAGAAGAGACGGCAGAAAGAATGGGAGAAAGAGACGGGAGAAAGTGAACAGGAGGAACAGACGGGAGAAACCAACGGGAGAAAGCCCCAGGAGGAAGAGATGGGAGAAGGAAGCGGGAGAAAGCAACGGGAGAAAGCGACGAAAGAAAGAGACGGGAGAAAATGATGGGAGAAACAGACTTGAGAACAAGGCGGGAGAAGAGATGGCAGAAACAAATGGGAGAGAACGGGAGAAAGTGACAGGAGGAAGAGACGCGAGAATGAGATGGCAGAAAGCGACAGGAGGAAGAGATGGGAAGCGGGAAACAGAAAGGGGAGAAAGCTACGGCAGAAAGCGACGAAAGAAACATATGGGAGAAGGAGATGGGAGACAGATCCGGGAGAAGCAGTTGGAGAAGAGATGGGAGAAAGACTCGGGAGAAACCGAGGAAGAAACGGGGAGAAAGACGCCAGAAAGAAGCGGGAGAAAGAAACGGGAGAAAGAGACGGGAGAAAGGTCCGGAAGAAAGAGACGGGAAAAACAGATGGGAGAAAGATCCGGGAGAAAGAGGTGGGAGAAGAAATTAGGATGTTCTTGGAGCAAGCGAGGAAGAGACGGGAGAAAGAGACCGGGCAAAAACACAGGAGCAAGAGAGTGGAGAAAGAGATGGGAGAAAGCTCCGGCAGGAACAGACGGGAGAAAGATCCGGGAGAAAGAGGCAGAGAAGAGAGGGGTGAAAGTGACAGTAGGAACAAGCGGGAGCAAGAGACAGGAGAAAGAGACGGGAGAAATAAACGGGAGAAAGCGAGGGAGAAAGAAAAGAAAAGGAAGAAAGCGACGGGAGAAAGCGATGAAAGAAAGAGACGGGACCAAGAGACGGCAGACAGGGACGGCCTCGAGAAAGAGGTATGAGAAAGGGACGGGATAAAGAGGCAACCGCAAGAGACGGGATCAAAAGAAAGGAGCCAGGCAGAGATGGGATCAAGAGGCGGTCGGGATTGCAGCGAGTTCTGGAGGCCGCGCGCTTAGCATGCTGCGGGTCCTCTTGTGGAGACAAGAAGTCTCTCGCAGTCGGAGAGGGCGAGGAGGAAGCAACGCAGATGCCCAACATGGCCAGGGTTTCCATTGTGTGGTTCAGGCTTTGGCAGCAAAGGAAGGTCGCAGCAGGCGAAATGATTCTGCTTCAGATGTCTCCTGCTTGCAGAGATGCAAGGGAAATTCTAAAAGTTGCATCATCCAACCCTAGAACAATTCCCTTACTGGGTATCTGACCGCCTGGCCTAGACAGGCGGACGTGGAATTCCTCAACTCAGCCTAGGAGTCGTGAAAATTTGGTTCAAGGGTCGCTGAGATGGGATATGTAGGTGGCCGGTGGAGCCAACACGTGGAGGTCCTCTGCTGCAAGAATTCATCCAACACTTTACCACGGAGGCTACCGGAAGCCTCAAACCACCAGGCAGTGGTTGTCAAATCATGTCTTGCTTTGGGAAATCTGCTCATGTTAAGGCCGAGAAACGGACCTAGATTTGACAAGCAGTCTGGTGAATCCTTGGCCCAAAGCCGGAGCCGATACTTGGGCTCAACGACGACCTTGAAAGAGGCAGATGCATGCGAGAGAAAAGCTGCTGTCTGATTCTTTAGATCATGTGTGATCGGGAATGCGGTTTTGGTTGTGTTGGGGCGGCCCCAGTCCAAGGGACTCCCGTATGGGGTCTGGATGGGGAACTAGAAGCATTATGAAGCATTCGCTTAAAATCCCAGATGCTCAGATGCGTTCCTCTTAACGAGGGAGAGGATGAGTAGGATCCGAAGAGGCGGGGTCGGTATACTCAACACCTTGGAAGGGAAAATATGGGGTTTGCCGCGTGAGTTATGTTGCTTTACAGAGTTCGCTGTACGGAGCATTCAGGCTTCCGATCGACTGTTTGATCGTTGTCTCTGGTCGGTGGGTCATCCCATAGCTATGCTTTCGGCCGGCCAAGCCATTCCACTGCAAACCCCAAATCCCAAAAATTGAGGTTATCTCCAAATTCTGAACCAAGATCGCGGTCAATCCTACACCCCAAAACTTTCAAACAACTAATCTGTAGGCCAAGCCCTCCAAGCCATACTATCCTAAATGGGAAGTGAAAAGCCCATGAAAGCCAGACCCCCTGATGTGTGCACCCATGGAACCGTACCAGGCTACGTCCGCTGCTTCGAAGTAGCGCGCTGCAAGTCACAGATGCAAACCTGGAGGAGGACTAAGCTCAACATTA